TTTTTTTTTTTTTTTTTTTAAAGACAGGGTTCTCACTGAGTCGCTAAAATACCAGGTTGGGCTTGAATTTGTGATCCTCCTGCCTCAGCCTCCCAGAGTTCTGGGATGACAGGTGTGCACCACTAGGCCTTGCCATCGTCTGCGTCTGTGCTGTTCCCCAGTCTCCACTGAGTCTCCACTGTGGCCGAACCCTGGAGCTGTTCGGCCATCCCACCAGCCAGCCGTGCTGTTTGCAGTGGGCCTGTCCGGTTTCACAGACCCAGTGCAGGCTCATCCTGGGTGTGGACGTGGGGAGCCCCACTCTGCTGTGCTGCGGGGTTCAGCCAGCAACCCACAGGGAGTGAGGGCATCTTCCTGGGCTGGGGTCCCCAGAGCACCGCCAGTGCCACTGCACAGCTGCCAGGCCAGGAGAGGGTGGGGGAGTTGGGTGGGCTGTGGGCCCTGGGTAGTGGCTGTCGGTCCTGCCCCCGGGGGTGCCCAGACGTCAAGGGTGGGGTGGAGCAGCTGCTGTTTGCCTCCAGGATCCAGCGCTGCACCTCCAGGCTGGGGGTGCAGGAGGGACGGGGCCGTGCAGTGCCTCCTCTGCCCGCCTGGCCTGGGCCTCGGCCCCTGACCCTGCCGCTGCTCTCCTTACAGCGCGATAAATGCTCGGCTCGACGCTGTCTCCGAAGTGCTGCGCTCAGAGTCCAGCGTGTTCCCCCAGCTCGAAAGCCTCCTGCAGAAGCTGCCGGATATTGAGAGAGGACTTGGGAGCATTTACCACAGAAAGGTAAGTGTGGTCCGTCAGCTTCCTGCTCAGAGACCAGCGAGGGGATCGTCTGAGCGCTGCAGGGTTTTGCATAATTCTATGCAGCCTTGCAGGTGGCGTGAGAGGGCAGCTGAGTCCTTAGGGATTTAGCTGCACAGAGTGAGGTTTTCCAGCTTCGACATCAGTGAAGAGCAGCAGTCTCCCACATTTTCATGACAGCAGGCCCTTCTGTGACCCTGCCGGACAGTGTGTGTGTCCCCAGAGTGCTGACCGATACTGAGATGGGAGGCTTTCTTAGAATTGCCACTTTGAAAGAGAAGCTGGAGCCTCTGCATTTCAGTCTGTGTGCTGCCGAAGCGAGCAGGGGAGTCTTTTGATTTAAAGCAGCTGCCTGTGTGCCCAGCCCAGGAAGAAACCCACGGGTGTGGCGTTGCATGTCAGTGTCTAGACGTTCAGATGCCGAAGGACTCAGAAGCTCTAGTGTGGTTTTTATTACTTAATTTTACAACCTACATGATAGCACTGACAAAAATTTTCCCCAGGAAAACCAAAATATTGCTGAAATTTTAAGATAAATAAATCATATTTATAATAATTGTGAATAATCAAATTTTAAAGTGCATCACCCTTTGCGGAAATTGTTTGCCCACATTCTGCCCTTCGCTCCTTCCTTGTAAACACCAGGAGAAGCTGTTTTTCTGGTCTCCTTACTGTGTGAGGCTCTCACGTCGGCCAGGCCAGTGGCCAGGGCGGGTCTGGGACTCACTCAGCAGGGCCAGAGTCTGTGTTTAAACCCAGTCCTTACTGAGTGTGTAGTGGCGATGTCTTCTGGATGCTACCGTGTTTGACGTAGCCGCTTTGACTGCTTATTACATTTCCCCTCCAGTTGCTTCTTTTCACAAGCAGATTTTATTTTTTGCTTAAACTTAGATCCTTGCCAATTTAATAACGTTGTTGTAGAACAGTTTTTATATGGCCAGATTTTAGTGTGACCAACTTTTCAGTAGTGTTTATACTTTCTTAAGGCATTTTCACCTATGGTGTTTTCTTGGCCTAGTAAGTCCTGCCTTGAGGGCATCTGGGGTGCCAGGAGGATTGGTGTATCCATCCCCTGTGCCTCAGTCTGTGCCCTTTTCCTGTCCGCTGTGGTGCTTTGCTGGCATTCGCCAAAGCTGTGCTGGCATTGGAGAGGTCTGTGGCCAACTTTGGAGGTTGCAGAGGGGCCAAGCCCCTTGTTCTTTTGTGTCCTGGCCCATGCCTGACACTGAGTGCCTGTGACCCTCTGGCTGTGTCACATCTCCTGCCCTGTGCCTTCTTGAGGGAGAGACAGGAGGAACTCAAGTTCGAGCCTAGCCTAGGCTCGCAAGAAGACATAAAAAGGGCCGGGGCTGGAGCTCAGTGCAGAGCTAGGCTCCATTCCTAGTCCTGCAAAAAGAAAAAAGATTCATGGAAAGATCACAGAGATCTTTACTTCTTCGAGAGAAAACAGACACTGAGCCGATGTTCTCTGGATTACAAATCAGAAGAGCGAGGCCATAGTGTCCGGGTTAAAGGGTGGCAGGTCCAGTCCCCGCTGCGGTGGCTTCTGTTGTGACTCCCTGCCTCTCTTAAACCTCATGGAGTATCTGCCTCTCGTAGGGTCTGTGCATTTATAGAAGTTCCCAGACTGCTGGCAGGCACAGTCTCATCCATTTAGCAAGTGACCAATATGCAGTACAAGGGTAACTGGTTTTGGAATTTCAGAATAGTCCAGGAAGGGACTGTGACTCACTGTCCCTGTGCTGTTTTCATGCTTGCACAAGAGTGTGCCAGGAGAGGCTGAAGAAGGGAGCCATGGCCGTGCCTTGTGGCAGCCTCGCTGTGGAAAGGTGAGCACTTCAGGCCACACTCTGTGGATGCGTGAGGCGCTCTGGGTGCACAGTACTCAGCTTTCCCTTGGCTCCTGTTGCTGATTTTGAAAACGAATCTCTTTCTTCCCTCTCAAATTGCAATAATTACATGAGATTATTATTTAAAAATTACACTGAAGCCAGACACAGTGGTGTCCGCTTGTAGTCCCAGCCCTCTGGGAGGCTGAGGCATGAGGCGCGCATGTCTGAACTTAGCAAGTTCTCAACACAGCCCCTTTGAGCGCGGGCCCCTGTCTCCAGATATGAAAAGAAGGAACTGGGGATGTAGCTCCCCGAGAAGGCCCTGAGTTCAGTTCCCCATACTAAAAACAGCTTGTGTTGAAAATGTTTGTCTTTACGTCTGTGTTTGTCAGAACGTGTCATTAGGTGACTGCTGGCTGAAGCACTTTCGCCCTCTGCCCTGTACAGTGTCAGGCTTCCTGTGTGGCACAGTGGGCTGTGCCCTTTTGGAGAAGGGCTTCGGGATAGGCTTTGTGCTCACTTCTTGTTCAGCTAGGCCCAACTTCTTATTTTTTAATCTCTTGTGGTTAGTGATTGTCATTTAAATACTTAATGCTTAGCATTAATTTGTTTGCACATGCCACTTACAGTGCCTTATCATTAATTTAGTCAAAATTCCTTTTCATCTCAAGATAGTATCTTTGTTGGATATTTGTGGTTTTCTTTCTGGAGTGCTGGGCGCTGTCGGCACAGGCGCACTGCAGCTGCTTGCCTGCGGGTGGGGTCCCCGCATCTGGGCTGCCAGGGTGCTGGCCTGGGGGACAGGCTCCTGCAGGCCCTGCCCATGCCCCCCAACCTGCTGAGGCCTCTGGTTCCTCCGCGGGTACCGTGACTGAGGCTGCGGCCGCTGTCCTTCAGAACCGCGTGCTGTCGCCCTCCAGCTCCTGGTGTTGAGCAGGCAGTGAAGCCACTGTGCTTCCCGAGCCTTTGTGTGACTTCTCATTTCCTTCCCTTCTGTTCACTGCCTTAGAAACCGCGAGCACGGGCTGGGTTCGTCAGCAGCGTCTGAAGTGTGGTGTCATCTGCTCCGCCCATTCCGCTGCCATTCAGCACACGCACCCTTCCGCCGCAGCACCTTGGTCCCGAAGTGATGGGCGATTTCCCTGGCTTTTTTTCTTTTGCCTGCATTAATGGATTTCCTGGACTACCTCTGACTTTCTTCCGTATCTTCCATGATTTTATACTTTTGCTTTATCTCCTTAGAGATTTTATCACTTTCATCTTCTACCTATCCACTGAAGTTTAATTTCCACTATCATACTTCAAGTTCTGAGAATTTTTTTTGCTTTTGTTATTCTCTGAATGTTTCTTATTTTAAAAGATAACCTTACATTTTTATTTTTCGGTTGCAACACCATCTATTTTACGAAGATTATTACTGATTTTTTAGGTGCTTTTATTTCCCCCTTCTGATAAAGCTCTCTTCCTTTCAAGTTTTATTTTTGTTTTGGTTCTTACATTTCCTTTTGGAATTTTTTTCTCGGGGATCTCATCATCTTTTAAACATAGAGAACTAGAAGGCTGATAGGAAGGTCTGTTTCACTCAGTGTAGCCTCTAAACGAGAAGGAGACCTGTGAAGGACCTTGCTGGCCGAGTATTAGGGACTCTCCAGACCCTGTGAGTGCCCCCTCAGCCTCCTGACTGCTGTGCTCTGGGCGCCTCTGCACACATCCTGGTTCTTCATCCTCTGTCTTCTCAGTCCCTGTCCTCCTGGGCCTGACAGTGGTCCAGATCCTTTCCCTGGGAAAATCCGATCTCCCGGCAGGGAAGGGAGGGAGTACTCTTGGAGTGGAATGGAGAGGACAGCGGCTGAGGGTTTTTGTTTTTCTTTTTCTGTTTTGTACCAGGGTTTGAACTTGGGATCTTACACTTGAAAGGTCGGTGGCGGAACCACTGAGCTAAATCCCTGGCCCTGAGGGATTTAATTGCTTTTTAGGTCACTCTCAACTCATCCTTTTCTGCCTCACCCTGCCTGCTGCTCCCAAAGGTCACTTAGGTGCCAGTGTTTGACTCTGTTGGTATTGTTTAAATCAAGTTCTGTCTCAGTTTTCCTTATGGACACCTTAAAGTTCAGGTGTCTTGAGTCCTGTAAGTCAGTTACTGCTTGTCTCCTCATAGTCTGTCGTCGCCTCCTGTCTGTCTTAGTCTAGTGGCTTTATGCCTTCTAAAACCATATCTTGACTGTAGTTTCAAGATGGACAAGCTGGCTGTGGTGGCGCAGGCCTGTAATCCCAGCACTAGGGTGGCTGAGGCAGGAGGATCGCTGTGAGTTTGAAGCCAGCCTAGACTACATAGCAAGACCCTGTCTCAAAAAAAAAAAAAAAAAAAAAAA